AGGCAGCGACTAATGCTAAGGCAGCACTCAAGCATCCATTGAGGTTGTTCAGGCGACCACTCAAGTGACCAAGGAAGCAACAATTACTGCTCTGCTCAGTTCTCAGGCAGAGGCGATAACTCTGGCAAGCTCTCCGGCGAAGAATAATGGCTAAGGGAGGCGACTACTGCTCTGTTACTCAATCGATTGGCTCACCGCTAAGGAAGACGACAAACGGCAAAAGTCAATCGATCTCTCTCGGTCAGCCGATCAATTCAACACTCCAGGAAGCAATCGATCATTAAAATTTTATAACAAATTATATGCACTTTAGATATATTTTATATTTTTTAGGTAAATTATTATGTTTCATAATAATTATATATATATATATTTTTTATTATACGATCGACCTAACTAATTAACTCAACGATTAAATCGTTGACCGAGTCTCGTTGCAAATCATCCAATTATGATAACTTCGATCCAAAGTGTCTTTCTAGGTATGCAGAACCATTCTATCGGTCACCCATTTATTATGAATTATTATATTGTCGCTGACTCTTGGGACCTAAAATAAACGCAAGGCCCAGCTCACTAGTGAGAAGCATAACTGTTCAAAGTCATGTAGCCATCAATTCTCTCTCTCTCTCTCTCATGCACACTCGTGTGTGTGTGTGTATAACGCTCCTTTTGGTCTCATAAGAAAAATCACATTATTCTTATATATATATATATATATTAACTCCAAATAATTTTATAAGTTTCATTTATAACTTTGACTTTTTTAAATACTGATAAAATGAAACCGTATTTTATTAAACAACGACTTTAATTTCTATGCAGGAGCAAAATAAGCCTACAAACTTTTTTCTTTTTCAAAATTATAAAATAATTTTAATATATCTACAACTTATGTAGACATATTTGAAACATATTTAAAAGTTAATAGCCATATAAGTCTAAATCCATTCAAGATTTCAAATCGATATCACATGAAAAAAAAAAAAAGTATATAAGGTAGGGATAATTATGTTTTGTTTAAAAAATATGGAAAATACACAATGTTTATTAAAAAAAATTTGAGGGTGGCGGTGCGCCTCCACTAGTCCAATAGTGGCTCCGCCACTGAGGTCCATTCCCCAACAAATCACCCCATTATTTTATATTCTGATGTTCCACCTTTTACTATGAACAAGTATAATGCACTTGAATCGAATGCAGTAAGAACAACTTTAGGACAATCCATTGAGATAGATTGGATAAGAAGATTTTATTACTACCCTCACGGTTTGAAGTTCGTTTTTGCAAGACAATTTTGATTTACTTGATACGTGTGGTTTATAAGAAAGTATGTGTATTTTAATTTATCTTGTTATCGGGAGTTTAAAAAATATGTATGATTCTCGGTTATAAAAAATAGAAAGCAAAATTGTAACTCTAGGAAACAAATTGAAGGTTTTCAAAATTCTGTAGGGGGTAAAATACCATCAGTACCCTTACATCAAGGGGAAATTTTCTTCGTTTCTATCAATTTTAAGTCATTTATTTTTTAAATTAGCGAAGATCAATGAGAGACCTTTCAAATTGAGAGGATTAAAATTACTGTTGAAAAAGAGATGATACCAACACCCTTGATCAATGATGGCAATGAATTGCCACATTTTTCATGTCTCTTTTTTGGGTTCGAAATGCAGCACTTATTCTTCGTTCAATGATTATGTTCAAGATTATATAATTACGGTAACTCGTTAGGATTAAAACTTATTTTTCAGTGTTCAGAACACGCGGTAAGACATTAGTTTCGACTCTTAAGTAAGTGTGGTGAGATCCTTTGTAAATAGTTGTGTGATTTTAATATACCATTTTTTATACAGATATGTGGGGTGATCTATCAGTATATCTATTTCTTGTACCGAATAAAAAAAAGAAAAATCTATGGTATCAAAAAAAATTTATGATAAATTAATAAAATAAAATAAAATTTTGAATCAATAAATTTTAAAAAATTTGAGATTAATCTTAAAGTTTTTTGGATTGAACTAAATTGGATTGTTACTTTGGTTATAGAAAATTACTCGTATATGCATGTAAGTTGAGAATAGTCTTTTTTTTTTTTTTTTCTAACAGTCAGAGGTGTTTGAGCTAACTTACGCTTACCTCGACAAATCACCAGACGGTCCGGTCAAAGATAGATCATTCACACCGGGACTAGGGTGTCCAGGTCAACTTATGTACACCTTAACTAATCCCCTCCTAGATCCGGTTAGAGACAGACTATTTACGCTGGGATTAGAGTATTCATGAAGGATAAATCTCTCATGGTTTAACCCTTAGGAGTTGTCAAGATTCAAATTTAGAACATTTAGATTTACAGGTAGTCTTTGTTACTACTTGAGCTATTTCTTGATGTAATTTACCATTAATTTAAAGTAATTTATTACTCGGTGGAGTTGTTTCCAAAAATTAAAAAAATGATGTACATATTAGAATTGATCCTAAAATTTAAACAAATTTATCCTATAGTAAATTCATAATATTACCCCTACTAACAAAGATGACTACAAAATATTATTAATGTCTACTATGATTTGTGAGACATAAAACAAAAGCGATGAATAAAACTTACACTCTGTTTGGTACAAGGAAAAATAGAGAAGATGAAAAAGAGTGAGTGAAAAATGAAAAATATTTTCTCTTGTTTGGTTTGAATGGAAAATCAGGTGGAATGAAAAAACATATCCATCCTGCCCACCAAAATAAATACTCTCGGTTTTGGGGGGAAAAGTAGAGAGAGAAAAGGACCACTTGAGTACTCCTATGTTAATTTACTTCTATGCCCTTCAAACTATTTTGTGCTTGTCCCAATGCATCCTAACTATGATTGAAAACTTGGACCAAAAATAACCACCTGTTAGACAATGACATTCGCAGTTTCACAAGATTTGACGGGATGCAATTCTTTTTAAAAAAACATTTTTGTGTATAATAGACCTATTAAACAGAGGTACTTGGAAAAAAAAAAGTAAAAATGAATAAATGTATGTAAAATGACGGCATTATTAGAACCCGACAAGTCATTTCTATGTCCGAAACAAATTGCATCTCTGTTTGAATAATTTTAAATATTTAAAAATTTATTGACATTAGAAAAAAAATTGATTTTTTGTGTGAGGGTATAATGATAAATTAAGTTTTTATATGTTTTTTTCCTTTTTATTTTTCCTCCCATACCAAACAATAGAAAAATAATTCATTCAACTTTTCATCAATCTTATCAAATAAAAAAGAATGAAACCGTCGTTCCTTCCTCTAACAATAAAAAAAATTTTACTCTTACATTTTCATCTCTCTTAATTTTCATTCCTCCAATCAAACGGGAACGGACTATTATGGTATCAAACAACCAATCCTTTAGGACGTGACTTTAGTGGTTTAGAAAAAATTGGTTAAGTCAGCATATGGGGTAAGTTAGTGTGTTTCAATCATAGTAAATGGATATGCAAAATGAGATATTTTTCCATAATTTTTTTGCACCGCCTTGAGCTTTTATAAAATAACATGACAACCCCGAAACATTTTTAAAATGTTACGAAAAACCTTGTTTTCGAAGTTCTTAAGTGAAATGAATAAAAGAAACAGCCATTGCGTTCTTATTGACTAAGAAGGATTAAAAATCAATAAATTAAAATAGAACCAAAAAAAAAAAATTCTAATTTTAATTGTTGTTGATATCATCAAAGGTGATAGAAATACAATATGCAAAACTTCGAAAATATATCAAGATTTTGCTTATTAAATCATGCTGGGTTATTAAATTAGTGGGTCCTATTAATTTTTTTTATTAGAAGCCGCTGATATAATTATACAATAAACCATTGGGTATATACATTTTTAAAATTTTTTAATTTACTTTGTCACTCAAATTAAAATACTCAAACTTTTTGCTAAGGTTGATCTTATTTTGTTTCTTCTCCCAAAAAAGAAGAAGCTAAAATAACATCCCACACCAAACTATTGAATGATGTTCCGAAAATGTTGCTTATACTTCCAAGCATATGTCACGAGCTTGAATTCGAGAATTGATTTTTCTAAAATTAAGAATAAAACTCAATTATCAATTATTTCTTCCACACCCCAAGAAATTTTGTCTGATGGGTAAGACTTTTTATTATTATTTTTTTATTTTTAGAATTTGTTAGTAATAAATAATCAATTAAACCACCGGGGACCAACAAGAAAGGCGAGGCTGTCTATCTATTCTTTCACATGAAAACCTAAAGGAGTAGTTATCAAATTGGCACTCTCTTCCTTCCTAGTGGCAAAGTATTTCTCTTTTATCTATACTATTTTTATATATCAAATTGATATAAGACATTTCATCACGATAAATATATGCCACATTTGATCGCAACCACATTTTTTGAGAGTCAATCACTTCAAAAAATTTTAATACTTTTTAAAAGAAAGATACGAACAAAAAATAATAGAAGAAGAAAACAAAAGGCAAAACATCAACATCAATCCATGTGAAGGTGAAATTTAACCCCACAATTAGGTAAGATTTCACTATCGAAAAATACTTTTTTAATATTGTGTTTTTTTTTAAATCTTCAATTACAAGATGATACATACAAAAATTTTATTAATTATTTTTTTTACTTTATTATTTAGTAATTAAATATTTTGAATGTTTTTTTAATAAAAATTAGCTATCAAAAATTAAATTTTGAACTGAATTTTTTTTTTATAGATACCATAGAGTTATATCACCCACAAAAGAACAAAAGAGGCGTAGACTCCTAGCCAACTTTGGTGGTCCCCCCCGGCCACCTGCGATTCGACGCCTAAAATCTGCAAATAAATTTTCCAACAAATTCCACCACGTGACAGATATGCTATAATGCGCCTCATTATCCCCACGTGTTTATATTCCTCTCTCTCTCTCTCTCTCTGTTTCTCTCCATTTGAGCTGCTTCTCCTCCTTTCCCCTCTCCATCTCTGAGCCCAACTACTTCGCCCTCTCTCTCTCTCTCTCTCTCTCTCTCCAAGTTTATGAGAATGAATCCTCAGAAACCATCTTTTTCCTCATCAATCTCCACGTTTACAATCTTGTTCAATTGTGTGATCAGCTTACTAGTTGTAGCTAAAACCACATCAGATCATGACTTTCCACACTTTGAATCATCAACCAGTTTCATCAAACCTCTAGATAACCCAAAAAACCAAACTCCACCACGGCCGCCACCACCACCAGTACCGCCCTTATCTCCGCCGGACTGCACCGTGTGGACCAGTGCTTGTTCGGAGGAGGTACTGAGGCTGGCAAAGAACCCGGAAAACACAGAGTGGTTAAAATCAATCAGAAGAAGGATTCATGAGAACCCAGAACTTGCTTTTGAAGAATTCGAGACGAGTAAGCTAATTCGCCATGAATTGGATAATATGGAAATCAGTTACAGGTTTCCACTGGCCAAGACCGGCATCAGAGCCATGGTCGGAACCGGTGGACCGCCTTTCGTCGCGGTCAGGGCTGATATGGATGCCCTCCCAATTCAGGTATATTTTCATTTCTCTCATATTTCGAGTTTGATTTGTGTTTCATTAATAGTTCGTAATTCATAGTAGTTGCAATGTCACATCTACGTGCTACAGAAAGAAAAGAAATTGCAAAATCTGATCTAATTTGTTATAAAATGGATAAGTTAACACGTTGGTTAACCGTTTTTCTGACATATTTGTACTTGTACTAATTGTTTAGCTTTTGGGTTTGCCAACTTCAAAAAAGAAAAATATTAATGGGATTCATAATTGATAATGACATTTCATTAATGCATAGAAAAGTGTGATTGAAATTATTGCGTTTATTTATATTTTTATTTTTATTTTTATTTTTTGGTATAGGAAGCTGTTGAATGGGAGCACAAGAGCAAAAATGCAGGCAAAATGCATGCCTGCGGCCATGACGCCCATGTCACAATGCTTCTGGGCGCGGCCAAGATACTGAAAGCTCGAGAACATCATTTGAAGGTTTGTTCAACAACCCCATGTGCAAATTTGTGATTATGGAAAGTAGCATTCATATATATACACGTAATTGTGTACTTGACATTGTAAATGTGCCACTCCAATGAGTGCCCTAAGAATAAGTTTTGAAAAGGGATGCCCATTTTAGGTTCATTTTCATATACAAATCATGACTCTATTATTCCACTTAAAAGCACTGTGAAAAAAGTTCACTTTTTAGGGTATAAGGTCCCATAGATTTGGTTACTATGACGCCTTTTATACTTGGAGGGGGAGAAGGAGGGGGAGGGGGGGTGTCTCACTTTGTTTGGACAATTGATGTAGAAAAAAGCAAGGTATGGTCTGTATAAAGTTTCTGCTTAAGCTAGATTTGGTCATTGTACCATATGCCTCTTGATTTGAGTTTTGCTGGGGACTGGTATCATGTTGTGCTCATGCAAACACAGAGGCACCAAAGCACCTATATATTTACCATCTTCTTTTGCTCTTTCTCTGATATCATGATAACTGAATTAGAAAGGCATCCATTATTCGCCGTGTGATGAGGAATTCTCACATTGAGAGCAGAGAAAAATTATAAAATTTAAATCACAATGAGTGGTGATTTCCACCAGGGCAGCCCAGCCCAAGACTCGAACCCTTGCACATGCAGTTGTTTGTAAAATCGCAAGCCATCCATCTAAAGTTTTTTTTTTGGTGTTTTGGGGGGGTTGGGGGTGTTGTTTACTGAGAGAACCAGAGGGTAAAGGTTAAAATATAAACTTCAAATTTTTTGAGTTTACCACGGGTTCTCTTTTTTAGGATCCCACATTGTTCTTAAAACTTTGATGATGACCTGATATAGGATAGAAGTGTTTTGAGGTTCCCACAGTTTTCTTATGCTGCATGTCAGGCCCCTTTTGTTTGGAACCATGAAAATGAAATGCTTTGGCTTCATTACAGTATTCACCTTCGGTGATGTCCTTGGTGGTTGTTTGATGACTAAGTATTTCATTTCTGTCTCCCTCACAAAGAAAAAAACTTCTCTAACATTTGTGTACCACCACAGTGACAAAACCCATGCTTTTGTGGGGGGAAAAGCAAATTACTGTGCACATGTATAAACCACATCTAGAAGCTATTTTTCATATTAGAATACATTTTAAAATGTATTAATGAAGGCAAAATTCTTAATAGTATCTTAGTCAACATGGAGTCAACACGCGTCTTGTATATGGTGATATAATATAGAAATTGAATTTTATTGGGATAAATTTTCAATTTTTTATGTTACAAAAAGCAATAACCAAATTGCTGGTGCCGAATAAGTCTTTTTGTTTGTTTGTTTGTTTATTCCTTTATTTGTGGTTTTTTAATGGGATAATTGTCTATTTTACTCATTTTTGGGAAGAATATCCAGTAATTCCTAATATGGCCAGAGACTAAATTGTTTTGAATGTGTTTGATCTCCCTTTGCTTATTCTACATAATTGCCACCACCCTATGAGCTTAGATCATTCAGGTTCGGGTCCATATGCGGTGACAATTGCCTGGGAGGGTTAGTTGGTTACTCTGATAGACTCAGATGCCTCCTAGTAAGAGAAAAAAAGTATGTACCCTAAGGCTAAATTTTCTATATGGTCCTGTCTGTTCTCCTTCACTAACTTGTTGATGCTACTGCTTTCACAGGGGACTGTGATACTGCTCTTTCAGCCAGCAGAAGAAGCAGGGAATGGTGCAAAAAGGATGATTGGAGACGGGGCTCTTGAAAACGTGGAGGCCATATTCGCACTTCATGTGTCACACCAGCATCCAACGGCTATCATTGGGTCGAGGTCTGGTCCTCTGCTTGCCGGCTGTGGCTTTTTCAGAGCTGTAATTACTGGAAAAGAAGGCGGGGCGGGGAATCCTCACCACTCTGTTGACCCTGTTTTAGCTGCCTCATCCGCTGTAATCAGCTTACAAGGGATTGTGTCTCGTGAAGCAAATCCATTGGACTCTCAGGTTTGTCTATCTTTTGAACAACCTCTTTTACTTACACTAATTTTCTTGTGCTTTGAGTTTTTAATTTTTGAGAATAACGAAAAGAGAACTAGACAAAAATGATTATAATTAGGAAGGACAATTGATAATGGAAGCGGCCAGTATGATTGCTCCCCTAACCACTAAAGTAATATTAAGTGCTAAGATTAGAAAGATTAGATATTAGTGGAGCCAGAGACTTAACCGCCAGGTACTTTGTTATACAGTATAATTATAATTATTAGACAGACTAAATGTCATGAAGGAAAATGATTACATCTCTCTCTCTCTCCGCCACAAATGATGTAGTGGTGCAGTAGTACTACTACATATGGTTAGAGTTGGATATGAACAAAAGCAGGAGAGAGAAGAAATAGGGACCTGTTAAAGAAGCTATTGAGCATTTGCAGTGAGATCAAACATTGTCTGTTTAGTTTTGGCTCAATTGAGATTCTTGTTTTAAAGTTGAGTTCTAAAACTATGCTGGTTTATTGGTTAGGTGGTGTCTGTGACTTCATTCAATGGAGGAGATGATCTTGACATAATACCCCATAACGTCGTCCTTGGTGGCACCTTCAGGGCTTTCTCTAACACAAGTTTTTACCACATACTTCAAAGAATAGAGGAGGTATGTCATGGAACCACTGTCAAGCATAGCTTTCAGAACTATATTCCATTTTCCTATCAAAAACACTTAACTACTAGAATTTCGGATGCTAGCAGTGCCTTTGACTCTTTTACTTGTGGCTTCTGTATCAAATTTATGGCAGATTGCTCCATCTGGTCATTGCTAACCTGATCATAGAACACCTCACCCGATCATTGCTAACATTAGTATCTGATGTGTATCATATTCTATACGATATTCAATGAATAAATAAGAACACAAATACAGTCAAGATTTGGATACATATGAACCGTATCCAATATGCTATATTGAATATCCAATAAGTATCATATATTTATACGGTTTTCGATACAGACTCTTCAACCTAGAAGAAATTTCCTTACTTGATAGCTTAACTGCAACCACTATCCAAGCTGATGCTCTATTCTAAACACAAAAACTGAACTGCTGGAACCTTTGTCATCTTCAACAGGTTATTGTAGAACAGGCCAGGGTTTTCAGATGCTCTGCAACAGTCGACTTCTTTGAGAAAGAGTACACTATCTATCCACCAACGGTCAACGATGAAAAAATGTATGAACATATTAAAAGGGTGGCCATTGATTTGGTTGGTCCGACAAATTTCGTAGTCGTACCACCAATGATGGGTGCAGAGGACTTCTCCTTTTATTCAGAAGTTGTCCCTGCAGGTTTCTTCTACATAGGCATAAGGAATGAAACCTTGGGTTCAACACACACAGGCCACTCTCCTCATTTCATGATAGATGAAAATGTTCTACCGATTGGCGCTGCCACTCACGCAACCATCGCTGAAAGATATCTCAATGAGCATGGTTGAACCGACAATTTTAACTGCACAGGTCATGAAATTTTGGTTAATCCAGCCACAGGGGATGGGCCGGATGGGTATTATTATAGGGGAAAATTTTCACCTTGGTGGCGTAGAGGAAGTATTGGAATGCTATTTGTTAATGTAATTGAAATACTACCTCTTAAGGTATTCAGATGAAAGTAGTAGGTGCATATAGTTCATTCTGTTCTTTTGAGGCATAAAATTATATCTCCATATGCTGCTGCTGGGGTACAAAAGATTCATTGGCTGAGGACGGCAGTCACTTGTGATGCATTCTTCTAGTATGTGCACCAAGTAAATATAAATTTCTATTAATTGAGCATAAAAAATCTCGAGATTCCATAATTGGATTCAAGACATAAATGATTATAGCAGAAAGAATCTAAATTTATTAAATTTCCAGTGTGGGTCAAATAGGCATCATTTTAAGAGTAATAGATTTCCATGAATATGACTATACCTAATCTGTAAAGAATATAAAAATCATCATTTAGGGGAGTCATATCAAGATGGTAATAGAGTATAAAGCAAGAGGAAATGATGACAAATCCAAAATGACTGTGTTTAACTCTGTTCAAAACAAATGATTTCGATTCCACAAGAAGCAATGAACTCAATACCATTTTGTTCAGCAAAACAAATGTTGTTCAGCCGAGTATTAACTCTTGAGCAAACCCATTATCATTTTCTCTGGTAGAACATTACATAAATTCATCTTAGCTTGTACATTTTTTTATTACAGTTTTAAGACAGTACGACCAGACAACAAATTGACACTCCTAACCATTTTCCCTTCTAAACTTTTGCTTAATTATCTTGTCACATACACGAATCAAATACATTAAATTTCCGTGTGGTTCACATCAGCAAAACCTGATTCTACCAATTACATCTCACCGCATAAACATCTACCTGCTTGTAAAGCAAAGTATGTAAGGATGACATCAGCACCTGCCCGTCAGAGACACATCAGTGACTCCATCATTACCCTTTCTTCGCCAATCATTTTAAGAACCCCACCAGCCTTGATCATTGAGTATTCTCCTGACACCTGGATCCAAAAAAGCAAGGAAATTGAAAACAGGGGGAAGATATTACACTGAAACAGAATTAAACTGAATCATTTTGAGGATGAAAGGCAGCTATTCCAAAAAAAGAAAGAAAAACAACAAAATACAAGCACTATCACAAGAAGCAAAACAATCAGAAAAGGAAATCCCCCAAATTATAAGCACCATTTGTTTCATGAGAGCTGCCCCAGCTGTGAGAAATTTGAGCATTCCACTCTTAAGTATTGCTTTTGAACCTCATCTTCCAATTGGTTCCAGATATGCCAGAGGTTGCTTGGGAGTTTGACAAATATGTATAGAAAGACTCTTCTCTACTTTTTGTTTTTAACATTTATGTCTTTTCTATCGTTCACTGCTGAAGACATGGAATTATTTCTCTCTTTCAATCTTGTTCATTGTTTGGTGGATTTCTGGTCTTTTCCAGCATGAGTACTTAATGTCCTGAAGATCATGTTCTCTTATAGGAGGGAGGAATACTTGCGGGAACAATAAGTAGCTCAAAACACGAAAATCTGATCTGCATCTTAGGAACAGCATGTCTCTATCATCAAAATTTCCTTAGAACTCTGGAGTTTGCTGCGTGAAAACAATTTCCAAAAAAATAGCTTACAAATCCGGAAAATGACTTACAGATGTTTTCGCCACAAGTCATTTTCTGAGTGGACACTTGTAATGCCCAAAATAGGGGCCTGTATGCGCAGAAACTTTTAGTACATTATCTACCGAAAAAAATAATATTTACAGCACATGCAGGTATAGACACCAAAGAAACCCACACACGTTCACATATACATGTACCTGTTAGTGTTTTTATCCAATTTATATGTATCCCTACAGCATTTACAAGCTTATGTACGTTTATAGATGTATATATTAAGCAATATGTTCGCACTGTAAGAAATGTGTGTACATGTCTGAACGCATGTTTATTTGTGCATTTGTGTTCATTCCACTCTAGAATGTACGGATGACATTAGAAAACCAGAATCAGAGGGCACAGAACAAAAAAAAAAATTGAAAATACCTGATATGCAGCAATTGGTAAAGGAGAATTATCCTGAAGAAGCCTTATGATATCCAAGTAAGGCAGACCTGGTTTCACCTGGGACACAATTAAAGTAAACTTCAGCAAAATAGATGGTTCCACCACCAAGCAAGTAATCAAATTAACTTGAAAAGTGATACCGACCAGAAGAATATCAGCTCCTTCAGACTCATCTTCGTGAACCTCAACAAGGGCCTCTCTATAATTGGCTGGGTTCATCTGATAACTTTTGTTACAAACCAAATTTCATCCAAACTCAGTTCCCGCAGTATAATGAACACTTGGCAATAAATATCAATTACAAGATTTAAAGATCAACATTGGTGAGATACATACGTTTTCTTGTCTCCAAAACGTGGATTTGAGTCCAATGCTTCTCGAAATGGACCATAAAATGAGCTTGCATACCTTGAGACATTATTCAAAAAATTGGAATGTTAAAGACAGCCGCCACCTAAACGCTTGCATCAAGGTAATCAAAGACAAGTTCATTCATAATAACACTTATCTAAGACATGTTCCTTATATGGAACTTCTATGCGCCACAATTATCATCCAAACCAAAGGATTGCCCACTCAATGTTAAAGGGTTACAAAGATTAGGCCCGATAAACGAAATCAACTGCTTTGGCCAGCTCAATTTTTGTTTGTTCCAAGTTTGTTTGCATTAGAAAATGAACCTATATGATCAAATTTATAAGCTTGCTTAATATTCTAGTATAAACCAAGCAATGGGCCGCTCAGATTGGTAGGCTTAAGATTGATTGCTTTATAATATACAAGGAATTCTTGTAGAGAAAAACAATAAAGGACTGCCCTTGGTTTTGATGCAGATCATATGCTTGAGTATGTCTCTGGGCTTGACTCTTTTTTGATTCCCCGGCAATGATGCGTTGCATCTGCACCCGGGTGTTGCGAAAAATGGGCGAGGGACGCCACATTTTAGTCACTGGGATGCGGTTAAAAATTCACAAGGGATCTTGTGTTACTCTGGACAAGTGTAGTTTAAGAAGTTAGTCCAAAAAACTAAACTTAGGTTAAAAACTTGAAATATAGGAACACCAACTAAGTAACACGTAAAACAATTGAGCTAGTTGAAACTATAATTAGAAGAAAAGTTAATATAGCGTGCCTCTAATAAACTAAGTGGGTAGGGACTACAACTAGAGAAGTAGAAAATACAGATTATAAACTTTAATATATAGGATAACATAAAAATGGAGTAGGAATAATAGTAGATTTGCATCTTCAACAAGAAGTGGTAACAATTCTTAGGAAATAAGATAGAATAGTATTAATTAAACTTGTAACAGAGGGAAGTATAATAAATATTATTAGTGAATATGTACCTCAAATAGGATTAGATTAACACATTACAACCTATGAAGCATTGATACTTTGTTAAGGTAGATGTATCCATATCGGATATCGTATCAAATATGACACTCGTCCGATACTCGAAGATACACCAAATGTATCTACTAATAAATAAAATCTATGAATACTTATATAAGGAGAAGCATGTATAATTTTAGTTTTAATCTTTAACTCCTCCTTTCAATTTGACATACAATGCTTTTTTTGAAAAATTAAGATGTCGGAGGTAAAAGATGCATTAAAGAAAATTAAAAAAAAAAAAGAAAAGCTTTAGGACCTACCTATTGAAGTTTGGAAATGTCTAGGGGATGTTGGGGTATCATGGTTAATTAATTTAATACAATTATAATCACCAAGCAATGCTTGATGAGTGGGGGAAGAGTATTTTAGTATCTATACACCATAAGGAAGATATACAAAGTTGCACAAACTATCGAGATATTAAACTATTAGGTCATACAATGAAACTCTAGGAGAGAGTGATCAAGTAAAGAATAAGGTTTGAAACAATGGTTTTTAAGAATCAGTTTGAATTTATGCCTAGGAGATCAACAGTGAAAGTTAAATTTACTTCGAAGACTAATAGAGAGGTATAGGGAGAAAAATAAGGACCTTCATAAGGGTTTTATAGACTTAGAGGGCATATGACAGAGTTCTTAGAGATATATTATGGAGGATTCTAGGGAAGAAAAATCTTACTGTTAGGTATATTGATGTTAATTAAGAATATGTATGATGATGCACTGACTTTAATGAGACTAACAACAAAACAGACTAATGAATTCCTAATTAATATAGACATACATCAAGTTCTGCTTCGAGTTTATATAGTTTTGTGTTGATTTTGGATGAATTGACTACACACATGCATAATTTGTTGACGCTATCATATTAGTTTCTTTTTTTCTTTTTTTGTTTTAATAGTCAGGGATATCCGAACCAGCTTATGCACACCTCGACTAATCACTTCCCCGGTACAGTTAAAGGCAAGTCATCCATGTCGGGACTAAAATATTCATAAGGGATAAATCTCTAATGGCCTGACCCTGAAGGGTTGTCAAGAATAACTCAAGTGATAATAGAGACGAGTTATAAACTCAAGTAAAGAATGAATTAATAACAAACTAGAAATATGTCAATAAGCCTAGTAGTGTTATGAAAGTCGCATCTAGACAAGAGGCGACCCCAAGTCTCCTGGCAAAGTCTAGACAAAGTGAGCTTCAATGAGGCGAGATTAACGCGACCAAGGCGATTGCTTTGCTGCATAAGCTCAAAGCGACTAGGCGAGCGCTTTAGTGAAGTTTTTTAAGTTGTTTCCTTTGTTTATTATTGACCGTTAGATTGATCAAGTTTAATTAAAACTTTGATATGCCCATAAGAGCTGATTGTCCCTTTATCCCTATATATGTCTAACAGCTAAAACCTAATTGACCTTGAATTTGTTGTGGAGACTTGAGGTCGCTACTTCAACGGGTATGTTCTCTTCCTTTTCTTCTTTTTCTTCTTTTTCTTGTGACAAACAATTTATTGGGTCATCCATTCGACTCTGAATTCACTTCTAGATTGCATGATGCTATTGTTTCTTCTTCAGTCTTCCAGTTTGTTATTGCTTCTCTGAAACGCCTTGTTAATTGATCAATTGACCACAATATACCATCAATTATATCTTCAAATATAGGGTTAGAGCTCTAATTACCTCAAAAATAAATAAAAATAATCTCCAAAATATAAAAATTAATTCCCTTCAATAATAAAACTAAAAGTTATAAATCTTCAATTTTTTGATATCTCAATTCTAATCCTTTTCTTCTAGATCATCCTCAAAAATATTAAAAGCAGAAAAGTGTACAATACAACACGAAATAATATGCTCAACGATAAAAATGTGAATAATCAAATACCAAATAACTCGGATGATTAGAATCATGAACCGCGGAATCATCAATTATATTAGACGTCCCACATAGCTCAATTGCTATCAAACATAACCTCAAGCTTGGTTCATCTTAATAACACGACAAGTGACACTTAGGCATATCAATCCATCCTCATGCCAAGCAATCACCACCTCGCTGGACCATTATCACACCTCGTACGACAACAATCACATTTCACAAACTATACTTCAAACTCACTTCATGCATGTACTAATCAATCTCATAGTATACAAGTCGGCTCAACAAAAGTTTCAGAATTTTATATCAACTAAAAATAACCAATAAGAATACAAATTTCATATGATCAAAAGAACACTCTTTGCAAAAAGATTAAAAGACTGAAACATATTATATACTACCTAGTACCTCAAATCACCATGGGATACCAATAAATTTGATCACCACCATATTAAGAGCAACATACACCAATTTCATAAAATTTGATAATAAAATCTCCATCTAATTTTGAACCCAAAACCTCATTATTTTATTTTTTTTCATCTTTCTCCCTCTTTTTTTCTTTCTTCTTTCTCTTTCTTTTCCTCCTTTCTCCCCCTATTTTTTCCTTTTTCTCCATGGTTTGTTGTTGCTACTGTTCAATGCCTTTTATAGCCAAAGATTGGCTTGGCCTCTAAGGTTATTACATCTCCCCCATGTACATATGCTTATATAGTAAGGCTTACATCAATGGACACTTGTCCCTCTATTTGTTATGTGTAGTTTTTTTTTTTAAAAAAAAACACCAACACACTTGTCACATGCATATATATAGCTATTCCTTCCCAATGTGACACTTGTCATTTATATTTCTTCATTCCAAATATGACATTTGTAATATTTATTTATGGGGCATATTTTTTTACACACCTTACATCGTTCAAACACTTTGAATATTTATTAAATATAATTAATATTATAGTCATTTGACTCATTTTAACGCAATGAAAATGTTTTGAGGTTCATTTATTTATTTAGAAATTCTAAGAACAAACCTCGACAATATTGTATCATAGTCAACACTCTATTAATGTATTAGTGATTGACTTTAATACGGGTCGTTACATTCTCTTCTTCGACTGCTATGTTCGCTTCTTCACTTCTTTTTTTATCCTCTTCTTTTTCTTCTGTGAAGGTCCTATTGGATCTCTGCATTTTTCTTTAGCTAAAACTCTGTTTTTCTATTTTATTTTTGCTAGAACTTTTTTTTTTTTTTTTTTGCTAGAACTCTGGTTTTTTTTTCAAGTCCTCAAGATTTGTGGAAGCATGGACTAAATGTTTAGTTACTTGAATTGTCTGTTTTACGTTTTCAAATATTAGGATTTGGGATATTATTAGTGTTTTTTTTTTTAATTTAAATGTTTATGTTGTGATTGTCATTAAGATTTGAGATACTATTAGTGTATGTTAATGGTTTTGGTTATATTTGAATATTTAGAATTTGTGAAATTAGAACTTCAATATTTAAAAATAATTAAACTAAAATATTTGCTTTCTTTTATACTGTTTCATTCACTTCGATGAAGCAATCGCTTTACAAACCTTAAATAATACTGAGTTCTAGAATCAAAAGAATTTAGGATAAGTATGAATGAAATTGAATATATGGAATGTAACATTGATAAAAGAAAGAATCGAAACTGGAAAAAATTAAAAATCAAAAGACATCAAGGAGTGAACACTTTAAATCTTTAGGATCTGTTATTAATAGAGAGTGAGGTTAAAGATGATGGTACTCATAAAATTGATGTAGAATGAACTAAATGGAAGAATGTATCATGTGTATTGCCCAATAGAAGTATACCCATTAAGCTAAGAGGAAAGTTCTATATAACGACTATAAAACCTGCTATACTTTATGGTACTGAGTGTTGGGCAACTAAGAAACAACATGTGCAAAAATTGAGTGTGGTGGAAATGACAATGTTAAAATGAATACGTAATAAAACTAGGAAAGATAGAATTACAAACGAATATATCTATGGGAAAGTAGATGCAACACGTATAGAGGATCAGTTAAGAGAGAATTGACTTAATTGGTTTAGACATATTTATAGACTGCCTACTACATTACCGGTGCAAAAGAGTGATATGATAGATATTGACAGTAAACGTAAGGGTAGAGGAAAACCAAAATTAACTGTAAATAAAATAGTAAAGAAAGATATGATAACTTATGGTTTAACTGAAAACATGATCCTTAATAGAGTTCAATGGTGAAACAGTATTTATGCAGTCAATCCCAAAAATGTTGGGATAAGGTTTTGTTCAATTGTGTTGAGTTGAGTTGCATGAACACAAATCGCCTGCAAATTTCTTGTTTCACTCTATCAAAATGACTAGGCAGTCTCCAAGCATCATGACACTAATGCATGAATTGCACACAAGGGGAGAACAAAGCTAGAAATATGCAACTGCAAATTATATCCATGAATCATAATGTTACTTGAAAAAAGTAATATTCATAAAACAGAAAACAAGTTCAGAATACAACAGAAACTGATAACAAGAAATATAATTATACTAAAGAAATTACTTTGCTGTATAGGACATGATAGACACATGCTGAAAGCCTTTAGCATCGAGGGCTGCTCAAATAGCTCCTACACGGCCATCCATCATGTCACTGGGACTGACAACATCTGCTCCTGCTCGTGCCTAGACATGGGAAAAAGAAACAAAAACAAATACTTAGCCTTGCAGTATGAACCTAATTCTTCCAAGACCTTAACCTAAAATTTCCTGAACTTGTTATAATTTGTCCTTTATTTGATATCCAGTTACTAGTCATGGATTGTATGTTTTCAAGCTTGTTTATGAAGCTTTTCTTTTGATAGGTGCTTATTCATAAAATATGTAAAGACTTACATATGCATAAATATTTTCCAGCATATTTTCTATGTTTCTCTATTATCCATACTAGCCTTTATCATAAATGATGGAGTGTTGAAACAATTTGGAAGACGTCATTCTCTAACACTTTGGCTCTCCAAGCAAGGGCTTGAAAGTCTAGAATGCCTAGGTTGGACCAATAACCAAAAAACAGAATCACAAACTGGTTATTTATGTGTTGAACAAAATATTTACCAGAGCCAGAAAAGTTAAAAAATAAATTTTAAAGCTTAGACATTTCTGATGTATCAAAGGTGCCATGCCATCAAAGGAAATAATATAGAGGAAATTGGATTTGAGCTGGTAATAAATATTGAAAACATTATCGCACCCCTGATCCCACCCACCTTCCCCAATCTCACGTAATCATCATTAAAGTCAAGGTTATCTAATTGTACAACCACTTGAAACAATTTTTCATATGCAAATAGACTCTATTTTTCATATAAAATCTAAAATTACCTGGGTAACAGCCTGTTTACACAACTGATGCACCGTCTCATCATTCATTATAACTCCTGCAGAATATCAACGTGTTATTGCAGATATAAGGTTATGCAAGAAACAGCCAATTAATTAACTCTCCGCTCATAGGATGCCAGAGGCAAGATTCATGCCTCCAACAAGAATGGCCATGTGGCAATTTGATGAAATCCCATTTGCTCATATGGGTTATATCACTTGCATCTTCCATGCAATTTAGCACATACTTTTGAAAACCTATTAAGGCTTGCTTCAACTTTCCTCGCAAGGCTAAAGCACCTCAAGCTGTAAAAATTAGCCAAGGGTCATGAAGGCATCACTTCATAGGCTTCCATGAACCAAGATGCAGTCGAGTGCATTTCTTTTGCTCTTTTACACCTCAATATATGACCTTATCCTTATGGCTTACATGACCCAATTTGCTATTTCTATGTACAACACAAGATAATAATCTTAAAAATAAGCCAATTTCCTTTACATATGCTTTAAATCAAAACAAAGTTGATCACTCATTATCCACATTTCCAATAAATATTACATTTCGTATGATTTGTGCAATAAGCCTTCCGAGTTATGCCTGACTTTGCATCTAATTGCAGGGAGAACACACTTTGCCTCATCTTATCCCCATAAAATAGGTTCCATTATATCCACTACAATTATCTGTTATTTTTATTTGATAAATAGTCAAAATTCAAAAAGCTAATGCCTCACACCTTGAGGCTGATGCAGGCCGTCAAGGAAGGTAAAACACCTCCCTTTTGCTTTCACTCTCTTAAGGCCATAATGGATAAATACACACACCTAAGTATATATAACATGGAATAGTGGAAATAGTTTTAAGGCCTTTCTGGTGATGCATTTCCTGATTTTCAATCTGGCCTTACCATAAGGAGGGGGGTTATGTTTTATATTTCTTGCCATATTAAGTAAACAAGCAGAGAGTAATAGTTTCATGTGCTCCCTTCCTCCACCCCCTCAATCGTCGTTCTTTCTCTCTCGCTCGCAGGAACAAAAAGTGCATGGAAAAGCCGTAAATCAACAAGGATTAAATTCATTTTACTTTGAATGTATAATTGTTTAAATTGAATCACACAACTGTCGACAGAAAATGTAGCACCAACTCAATGCTAGATTAATCCTCAAACTTAGAAGAGTAGGAAAATATGTCTTACCATCTTCTCTGACAATGCCATCATGCCCATCAGAGGAGTATGGACCTAAAGCAACATCAGTGTAGATAACCTATTGAGAGACATGTTACAGAATTAGAGAAAATGTCAAACTTCTCCTCATAAAGCACACATCCACCTAGAAACCTCCATTACCCTCTCAAGTGAAACAAATTATTAAAAAATGTCTATCAACTTACAAGATCAGGGTACTTGTCTTTGAGCAACCGTATGGCTCGAGGCACTAATCCATTCTCATTGTATGCTTCATCTCCTGTGGAACACTGAAGGGCCAAGGACCGATTACATTGCATCATACTGGGAACTGGAGAAATTTAGGTGGTTTATAAGAACCTTTAAAGCATCCGGAACTTTAGGGAAGAGCACAACACTATTGACACCAACATCCCGGGCCTTTGACACCTGCACCAGGAAATTGTAACTCAAAAACTACTAAGTCAACAGTGGATGAATTACCTTCACATAATGCATACAAAGACATGAAGATAAGTTCCTACCCAGACTGTTAAACTAAATAACATCGAATTTAGTGGGCTAAATAAGGATACACTTGGAGCATATAATTACACAAGCTATGCTAAAGTAGAAAGTTACTTCATGGGGTATGGGATACATATATCTTTGTATGGAATTAAGAAAAAACCATAGTTTTCTCACAAAAACACTTCCTTTATGGTGCCAATTGATGATGACACCAGTGTCCCTATAAGCTCATAACATTGCCATCAGGAAAGGTACTTGAAAGCCGATACTTATGGGGTAGGATATTTTTTTTCCTTTCCTTGGCTAAGTAACTTAAAGCCTCAGACTTCAGCGGAACTCATTTTGAGTTTTAAAAGGTATAAAAAAACTAGGTAGAGATTATGGACCTCTTCCACAAGTCCATGTCTCCATCCAAGCCTATAACATCCAGGCATAGCTCCAATTGGTGAGTCCTCTTCACCTGCAAGTCTTGTAAGATAAGACATATTTATCAATCAGATTGAGAGAGGTATGACTCATACAAACCAGAGAGAGAGAGAGAGAACTCTTGACAACAACCTTCATGAATAAAAAGTGGATATACAAAGTTTGCAGGGCTTAAGGTTGTTTCTTGGAATGCTGCTCTCAAAGCCTGTGATCTTCGATTACGTCGAGGGCACCGATTGAGTGGCTGATAGAAACAACATCAATCATACATATGAATAAGATAAGAATATTTAATGCAGATTACCACAATATTGGATGACTGAAGGAAATGCATAACAACTTCAACTTTTCATCATCATAGCCTCGGCATTAATCAAACATATTTAGGTGTTATAACTAAGTTCCTCATTAATCCAACACTGGCCCACTCAAGCCACGTAAAGTAAATACCTGAAGCTTGAGTTAGCCCAGTCATACAGAGTAGCGCAGGGACTCCCCTTTACCAATATATATGCACATGGTACAGTGTTAAAAGTGACCTGTTAACTATTTATCCATCGATTGAGCTCATAAAATTCCTTAAGTAGAACTTACATATAACTTTTAATTTTAAGAAAATGACAGAGAAACCACAATTTTTCGGTATCAACACAACAAAGTTCCTGCATCGTCATTGGTTTTGGAATTGCTATCATAGTTAGTTCACTTGTTTTCTTTTTCTTTTTCTTTATTTCACCAACAAAGATGCATCGGCGGTGCGCCTCTTGAAGAGCTCGCTTACTGAGTTTCGGTCCCACATGTCCAGGTAATTACCGAGATTTTGACTAGTTATGTCATTAATTTCACGAAAGGGACACTCAAAGCCCCTGGAGTTGGAGCAGAGCTTACGAGTGACGGCACCACAGGAGTTCCAACTGGCGCGACCGGTTTCGGAGGCACTGGAGGCGCATCCGGCGGATTCCCGGCGACCACGGCAGCTTCGCAATCCTTATCACTCATGCCCATCTTTTTCATGGGCCTATCACGTGATTCACTGGCCCTCACAACTAATAAACGCCTCGTAGGGGTCTTATTGAAAAGTCGAACACATACAAAATTCTGATTCACTGATGGTCTCAAACCTAAATTCGTAATTGGCCCAACATTACAAGGCCGATTAACGATTGTTGAAGCCATGACTTTGACAGAGTACTCTCCAAGAATACAAGCTCTGCATAAAGATGGGACACTACATTAAATCAACGGAATGTTTTTCTGATTTGAAGAAAAATTAGGGCATTTTCATTTGCGTAATAAAACCAAGAAATGTGGGATCTCGAAATAAAACGCAGATTTTCTAGAAAAACTGAAGAACGTATGCTGAAAATCTCACCTCGCTGGATGCTAAGAGGTTGTCTGCCGTGCTGAGAGAGAGAGAGAGAGAGAGAGAGAGAGAGGGTTATCTGAAAAATTTTAGGGGAAACCAATGGGAGAGGGGCTTGGGGGAAGAAGGACAAGGATTTTCCTGACAGGAGATTGGAATGGGGTGGGTTGTCTAGTCAAATTGGCAGCTGGTATTCCCGCTTAAAAAAACAGGAAAGTCAAAAAATTAAAAATTAAAAACAGCCCCACTGCCATCCACCTATTGCTAGGGTGATCGATATTAAATTGTTAAGACCGATCTCAAATAATATTATAAGCAAGTTAAATAAATTTAAAAAATTAATTTTATTATGTAATTATTATACTATTTGTTTTTAATTTAATTATAACTTTCAGTATTTATTACCTATTCAATAATAATAATTTATCATGTCAAATTTTTTAAGTGTATTCTATTTAGCATTTTCCTAATTTTATTTTATCATAAATTTTTCAACACTAAACTAGTTTTATAATAACTTTTATACAATTTTGGAAATTAATTCTTCAATTCTTTGAAAGGATAAAAATTTCGTGATAAAATTAAGGGTTAATTATAAAATGTCGAATAGTTATTTCAATAAATAACACCTATTAAGTTTGAATATTTTGTAATTAACTCTAATAGTTATTTGTAGACCATAAAAATTGATGAAAGTTAAATATTTTAAATTTACATAATCTCTACTTTATTGAAAATATATAATTATCTTTGCATCTATTTTTGACCCTATACCAATTATCCATACTTCCCCAACTAGACCAGTAACCACCCATTCTCAAAACTCTTCCGTCTTTCGTTATTTCGAATGGTTAACTGTCATTCTCTTTTCTTTTTCGGTAGAAACTCTATCATCCCTCTCATGAGAAGGAGACGTAGGTGAATAAAGTTTTTCCCCAAACCCCCAGTCTCCTTAAAAACTTTATTTCTAAACCCAATTAGTTTTAAATTTATTTTTCAAACTTAGTATTTTTTTAAAAACATCATTTCAAATGACACTTTCATGGATTAAAACGTTATTTGAAATTATAATTTGAAATTAAATTTTTTTTATTAAAAACGTCATTTTTATTGACGTTTTTTAAAATAAATTTTCAAACGGCAGCTGGCCGACGTTAAAATAAATAATTAGTAAAAAATGTCAATTATAATGATATTTTTAAAAATATTATTGTAAATGATGTTTTCTATCCACTTAAGTGACGACCTCAAAAACAACCCACCCAGCTCGCCACCACTATTATGAGTACTCTCTCCCTCTCTCTCTTTCTCTCTCTCTCTCTCTCTCTGGTTGATCTCCATGCGGAAGTTGAGGAATCAAAACCCCAAGAACAGGAACAAAGCCCTCTGCTTATCGCAGATCAATCCCACCAACACCAACACCAACAGCAAGAAAATCAAGAACATCACGATGAAGATGATCATGACACCCATTTGGATAAAACCCTTCAACGCTTAGACTAATTACTCACTCTGTTGGGCTTCAACCAATCCTCTGTTTTCAGCTTTGGGCTTTTTTGTGTTGTGTTTCTGCTGATTGGGGTGTCTCTTCCTGTCCTTGTACTTGTGTTATCCGATTGCTCGAATTGTGAGGAGTATCAAATCAAAGCATTTGAGATAGATGTTGTTGTTTCACAGTCTTACCACCATATGTTCATTCTTGTTATTTAGTGTATTCCTTTTAAACCACTATTTTCTCAGACGGATATGTTGTGTGTGTGAGTGTGTGTGCGTAATGTGTTGGTGTCAGACCAAACAAAAGTAGTTTTTGTCTTAATTTTTCATTTCCTTATTTTTTTAGGGATAAAATTTGTATCTCAAGAAAAATATGGGGAATAATGTATAAGACGGAAGGAGGGTGTAACGATTCTTTCAAGTGTTCATCCATTATTATTAATCAATTTAATCCATTGGAAGGGATAAATTACAACATTTAAAAGCATAAGGAGCTAATTATAATAAGGGACATAGTTGGAGGGGGCAAATTAAAATTAACCCCAAAATCAAAGGCCATCTACTGTTTTTTATGAATATAGCATGTTGAGCAAAACAATTCGGCGTACAACAGACACTTGAGACGATCGAAATTTTTGTATCTCTATCTTTATATCAGTTAATACAGTACCCAAAAGAAGAAAAATCTATATTATGTCCAGCTATTGACTTCATCAAAGTGAATAACAGACCCCACACCAATAGCTTATTCCGACAGAAAGATTCCTACAGCTAATGTATTCGGTAGCTTTCCTCGCTTAAGGTTTGGCTTGACAGTGTTGGGGGTTGGGATACATCTATCCAGCCAAACCTTTACTATGTTACCATTCCCAATTCTCTACCTCCATCCAGCTATGATCATTTTTCGATCTTCCAGAATGCAATGCCAAGTGGAGGAAGGCCTATACTCCAGACCAGCTTCCACTAATGATGTGACTTTGGAAAATATCTACTCCTCGTCATCTTATGTAAAAGTGTGAGTTTCATGAAAAATTTGTTGGACTAAAACAAATTTTAGTAATTAAAATTTGATTTTTGGTCGATTTTGAGCTTAAATTAAAGTGGAATAGCTCATTATTTTGAGTAAATTTTCGTAGGTTCGTGTTTTACTCCGTAAAGAGAATAACGTAGTATATATTCACTTACTCAAACCAAGTGACCTTTTTGAAATGTGAAAAATAGATTTTGTGCAATGTGGGATATAACATCAATTCCACATTGGTTGAAAAACAGTTCTACATGAATATATATAAGCAAAATTTGCTCTATAAAATTGGGTCCTAAAGAGTACCACAATTTTATGAGCGGAGTAAGCGCCTATATGCCTTCAATTCAACCACATACGCGCGTTGCCCACCTCGCCTCGCCACCATCACAACCCAGCTAGAAACAGTCACTAGTTTATCTATATAAACTCAAGCTCAATACCATTTTACATCAATCATTTTTCAAAGTCAAGGCATGCATTAATATATTATATTTCACCATTAAGACAATTTGCATTTGAATAGTACACAACATAATTTCTGATTTCTTGTGTGAGTAGATTGAAGTGTTACTTATATTCATGTGAAGATCATTATATTCTAGGAGACTAACGTTTTGATTTTTATAAGCACCATATGTGTTAATGCTTTAAAATTATCTTTTTGCATGAAAGATACTACTTGACACTCACTTTTTTGGTAGGTCCCACATAACCTATTTTTGTGCAAATAAACAAGAGATAGTATCGGATAGTAGATTAGTACCGGTACAAATTTTTCATTGGGTAGGTATGGTATGTATAGTATTTTCCAATACCACCACACCATATCCTATAAACAAAAATGCCCCTAGTGTGTAAAATGATATATTTATTTTGACATAAACACATATCCGTTGTTCTGGGAAGGGGAACCCGATGTGGATATTTCTTCACAATTATATACATAGAACTAAAAACACTTACCTAGAGAGGGTGAATAGGTTTTAATTTAACACTCAATTGATTACAAATTAATACCTAATCAACCACAATTACATTTTTCCACAAAGATATAGTCAATTAATGTGAGAATCTCTTTCAATCACCATAACCTAATACACCTATGAAGATTGAAGTTAAGTAATGTTTAATTAATTCACTAAACATTTTCAATCTCGCGGGGATCCTAATGCACAATTATGATTGATTTATATGTCAGATATTCAAATCATCAAATACAGAGTGTGCGTGTGTATTAATAATTACAAGTGTATATGAAAAAATAGGAAATAACACAACTGATTTGTTGACGAGAAACCCTTCTCGAAAAAAATCATAGAAAATTTTCTCGGTTTACTAAAACTTAATTTATTACTCACAAAATCAGCATACAAGCACTCGAGTCTTATACCTCAACTAATACCATGGTTAGATTCTCATTTCTTTGTTGTCTCTCTGCCAAAAGTCCTCATTTGATGTCTTACGTAGCTTTACTTGGAGTTTCCGCATTATGAGCACGCCACCGATTCTCGGTAAGCACACACCAATAAATTTGTCAAACCATCAACATCATCAACTCCAATTTGTGAGATTTGATAGAATATCTAATGATAGCCTTGGATCTTAGCGATGTAGGTTAGTGGTGTAACATCTCTAGGTAGAAGATGAATTTTCTCTCTTAGAAATCTCACTAAAGACTTAATTTAACCATGCGAAAGACCCTCCTTATTTATAAGTGCAGAATAAGGATAGTTTCGGTCAACAAAAAATTTCAGATTCACGAAGAACTGCTCGATCGGTGGGTGACAATTGTCACTAGAATGAAAATCACATTTCAATCCTGGCTAGGGAGTACTAACTGCTCGAGTGAGCTCTGTATCCCCTCCATGGCCTTTTTCCATATTATTCTCTAAGTCATAAAAAGGTCGCTCTAGTGAATGCTAGCAAGTATAGATCGGTCCCTATCGATTTTTAAAGTATAAAATCAAGCAAAATACTTGTCATCTTGAGCTCTAAAGGGTGTTGCTCAAGCAGGGCCCGATAATAACTTAATTTATATTTTCAAAATACAAAATTGTTTATAAAATTTTTCTTTTCAAAACACCTAAGAGTCATAAGTTGAATTGCTTCCAATCCATTTTATCCTAAACATCCTAAGTTAAATTAACTAAAGAGTTTCTAGGGCATTAGCTTTATACTAAGCATAAAGGTGCATGCAGAGTTTAAATGATTTAGTTTTAACGCTTGATCTCCTCCAATTTCGCTTTCGGATTTTCAACTTGATAGCATCATAACCATATAAAAGGTTGAGATTTACAATGTACTTCACGAAATTAACAAATTACTATATGTGACCAAACAATATCACATAGTATAGTCATTGAACTGTCTTTGCACAAGGAATTCATTTATGTATTTGAAATCTTCAAAAATAAATTTTGATCACATAAAATTTGAATGTTCCACACAATTTTATCCTTAATTATAACTCTTATTTTACAAAAATTCAGAATCTTACAGACTAGACACTAAACTGAACAAGGTGTTAGAAAAGGAACCAAGATAGGCATCGG